TTTTTTTCTCCATATTCAATGTCAACTTCCTGTCTCTTAGGAATATTTTTAAATAATCCATCATATCTATTAGCGCAAACCTTTATTTTACTAACAACACTATATCGTCCGCATAATGTCTATATGCTCTCTTTATGTAATTTAACTCTACATATAATTTTCATATACTTCTCTAAATCCACAAATTAAAAATTTTAGTGGCTTAAACAGTTTATTTTTGATGTCTTAACAATAACATTCTGTAAAGTTATAGATTTAATGGGAAAAAAAGTCAATACTGCCAAAGTATTGTATAGCAGATGTATCAGAGCTAGCATTTCTTTTAAATCATCGCCATATGTACATAAAATGTAAGATAAATAGTGCTCATTGTTGAGGGATGAGTTGTCCATTCATTTGACATCATAATATTAATGTCAAATTAACATCAAAACCACAAATGTGACGTCAATGTGATATAATTTTGACGTCAATCGACGAGTCATTTGTAGGTGCGAAGGTACGTGATAATTATTAAAAAATAGTGTTTGTAGCATATTGCTACAACGATTGGAAGGTTTTGACTCGCCAAACCGAGTCTGGAAAGGTCTTTCAGACTCGGCCTGGTGTTGTACACTTTATATGAACAATATAAGTCGCAATATAAGGTGTTAAAAGTTGTCAATATAAAATATATATTTAACTTCAATGTATCATATTAATTCAGCAATGTAATAGCAAAAAACATGCCTCATATGTGATGTTGCAGAATGCCTCATCGTTTTATATCAATGGATAATTGCGAGACTTGTGAAGAGGATCAGTCTGAAGCGGACAAATATATAAGACATTAAGAGTAAAAGGAACACAATTTTTGTTAATTTGATTACGAATATATGGCTACATTCTAATAATCACTGTTGGTACTAAAAATGTATAGTGTATATAATACCAATTATAAATTATCAGAACCATCAGTGAATATTTGAATTCACCCTTATAAATAAATTGAAGTTTTTTATCTAGTATAACTATTTCAATTTTAAAAAAATTGTGGAATCATGCTTAATCAAGCGAC